GACAATAGTCCTTACAGTCATGGTTTCTACCTGAGCAAGTCTTCCCGCTTTCTGTTTCTTTTACAAGAATGTCTCAGCTCTTCTTAGCCTTCTGGACTTCCATATACTTAGAATCAACTTCCCAAGTCTCATAAACAACAAAAAGCAAGACTTGTGGGGAAGGAAATCATGCTGAGGTAAATGACTGTGAGACACCAACATCTGCACATAGTATTTCGATCCATGAACACTGTACACTACTCCATTTATGGTGGGCCCCCTCCACCCTCTACCCTCCACCCTCCAACCCATGGTGCTGCCTGAAATGCCCAGACTTGCTGGAAGCATCTCCCGGAGTTCCCCCTTTTGTTGTATTTTCAGAAATTTCAGAAAGAATTTTTAAACATGTTATTAGCATTTGGGGGCTGTTTTCAATGGGGACATTCCCAATAAACCCAACTTGCTGTATTCCCAGAAGGTGGTCCCTCTCAAGGACTACAGTCTGTCCTCTTCTCAAAGAGGCCACCATGTTGACCTCATCTAAGGGCCTGCCCATGAGCCACCAGGGACGCCCCCCTAAAGGCCTGGGTCTGCTCAGTGAGGATGACCGGGCCAGACAGGATATCCCCAGCTCCCAGATGACTCTCTGACGGGCTCTCCTGGGAGATGTATCACGACTCTGCCAGCACCAACACTGTGTCCCTACTGAAAGGAAGGTCTGTCTGCTCTGCCAGGCAGGAGGAGGACACTTCCTCCTCACAGTCATTCCCAAGCCAAGTGTCCCCCTGGGCAAGTTGCATTGCACCTTGTCCCACTTCCCCCTGAGGGGCCAAAAAGAAGAATGTCTCCATAACCTGAGTCACTAAGGCCTGAGAGATGGACCATCTGCTGAACCCACAGGTCGGCTGTGTCCATTGAGGTCCTGTGACTAATGGGTGCTGCTCTCATCTCGCTCCAAGCCCCACTGCCAGTCCCCTGGTCCAGCCCTGAATGCGGGGACTATTGTGTCTCCCTGCTAGGCCTGGGGCATCCCTGATCCATCAGACATCCCCTGGTGCCATGACCACTTTGCCTAGCACTGTGGTCCCACCTGGATCCCAAGTGGGCTTCTGTGGTCCTGCTGCAGCCTGCACATGACTGCAGGGTGAACTCAACTCTCCTGCCAGGCTCATCAGAGACAGGGGCTGAAAGCCAAGATAAACACTGAGGGCTTCCCATGTGACTCACAAAGGGCACAGAGGCAGGTTGCAGTGTCCCTAGAACTATGCTGGTATGTGCTTCACTTGACAACTCGTCCCAAGCCTCATCCTACCCAGGGTGCTGGTACCGAGAGCTGAATGACCCCCTTGTCAGTGACCTTCCTCGGAGTCTGAGTGACCTGGGGATCAAGTCTCATTCTCCCCTGCAAGCTGCTCCCTCCATGGATGGAAGCCACACATGTTCCATGATGGCCTGGCCTGTCTGGGGCCTGGGGCCTGCGGTGGGGGATTATGGAAGCATGGAGCACAGATTTTTCGTGGTGAGCAGCTCTAGAGGCAGAGCTCCCATCCCATCAGCTCAGGGGGGCCGCCCAACGGCCAAGAGGTGGTCCATCTTTGGTGGGCAGAGCCCCACTCAGCCCAGGGTCCAGGCCCAACACTGCCCTCAATGCCCTCACATCCTGTTGGCCAGGGCATGAGTGCCACATGCTCTGTGGTTCATTCTATGTCGTGGTGTTTACTCTGCCCACATGAGCACCAACATCTACAGGAAAGCCTGCAAACCAGCAACACACATCAAGGGGAAGACAGAGGCATTCCACGCTGAGCTAGTGGTTCTCGCATGTCTCCCTACCTGCAAGCTTCAGCCTCAGGTAAACCCTGGCCATGGCTTTTGCTCCTCAAAAACCCACAGTTCAAAAGGTGTTTGGGGATTATTTTCAGAAGCAAAGACCAAAGAGGTCACGATAACAGCCCTATCAGCACCAGGGAAGGGGCCCAGGATGGGGTCTGTGCACACTCACACACTGGGCACCCCATGCACTCACGTACCGGGGCAGCTGGTGGGGATCCCAGTTACTGCAAGGCTCAGCAGGCATGAGGCTAGGACCCAAGCTCTTCCTCCCTTTGTCTGCGTGCTGACCAGGCACCTGCTGTGTTGGAACAGGAAAGAGGAGCAGCAGACCCCGCTCTCCAGAATTCCCAGAAAGGCAGCTTCTGCACAAGGATGTGAGATGATAGATGACACCATGTCATCTAGGGTCTAGGCCCTGGGGTGGGACTTGCCAGCAGCAGCCAGAGCTGGGTAGGGGAGAGGAGTCTGGAGGTTCTCGCAGGGACTGCTGGACATTCTGAGCACAGGAAAGATGTGACCCAGCCTGAGCAGGTGTGAGGACAGATGCAGGAGAACATGCAGAGGTGAGAGCAGGGCTCCCCAAGCTCCTGCCTCAGCACACTCATGCCCACTCCTGTCCCAAACACCCTCTCCTGGTCGTTCCTCCAGCTGTGCCTTCTCCCACTGGAACCCTGAGCCCTGACATTCAAATAGCTGTGAGGACAAGTTCTGGGGCTGCCAGGCCCTGGCTGGGCTCTTGGGAGTTCGGAGCCTGCCTGACATACCCTTGTGGTTGCTGAGGGCCCCGAAGGCTCAGCCTGTGCTCCCAGGGCAGCACAGGTGAGGAGGACATCTGTCCTGAGACCTCAGAGTTGCAGACACTGTGACAGAACCACCCCCGCCCCTACCCTCCTCCCACCCCACCCAGTGCACAGAGGCAACGGTGGCAGGAACCTGCAGGGACAGGCTTGAGGCACCGGGGTTCTCGGGGCAAGCTGCAGGGGCCGCGGGGAGGACACACGCTGGCAAGGAATAGCAACAGGGAGCATGGGGCTGGGGGCAGGCCAGCACCTGCCCCCTGTGCCCAGACCTGAGCTGCCGGCTGGAGAAGAGGCTGGGCTCCCTATGGATGGCCCTGAAACGGCGCACCAGCTACAAAGAGTGGTGACTCCAGCCCTTCCCGGAGGTGTCCCAGGAGCAGATGCACCACCAGGGCCCATTACAATTGAGGCTTTTGGGGGCACCTGGATGGCTCAGTGGGTTGAGTGTCCAACTCCTAATTTCGGCTCAGGTCACAATCTTAAGGTCCTGGGATGGAGGATGGAGCCCCATGTTGGGCTTCTCCCTCTGCCCCTCCCTTGCTCACACATGTGCATGCACGCTCACTCTCCCAAATAAATCCTTTTAAAGAAGTAAATAATAAAGTCGGGGGCTCTAGGGCCATGGACTTAACCGCTGTCATGTCCCCTGGAAGCCTAGAAGGCACGACGGAGGTGGACAGGCTTACTGCCAGCAGAACCCACCAGTGATCCCTTCACTGTTCACTAGTGTGGTGAGGTGGGGAGCCCCGAACCCTTGGCCAAATCGCCTATCCAAACTGGGTGCAGGGCTGCCTGTAAGGACACTGCATCTAGCCCACCTGCCCTGACCCCAGGCCACATAGCACACACTCTGTGCCAAGACCAAGGGCTGCTGGGCTCATGGTAATTAATAGGCAGCATGACTCACAAGGAGCGAGCCGGCGTCTCATGCCCTCCACCTTGTCCACCAGCCGTCCACATCCCCACTGTCCCCAGTGAATTCATAAACCCTACATCACACACTCGTGTTTCCCAGTTGGTACAGAAGTGTGCCTCACCTGTGGGGCTGTGACTCCTGGAACCCTGTCCAGTGTCCCCCCAATCCCATCCTTCACTCCGTGGAGCCTCGGCCTCCTGGGCACTGTCATCTGCCACCAATCTGTTTAGGCGCCAACTCCAGTGGCCATCTTCACTTCCAGTGGACGTCGGGTTCTGTGCCATCTCCATGTGGGTATTTTCAGCAACCTCTCATCCTCTGCTCGCACTGTTTTGTCCTGTTTTCAAATTTTAAGTGTCCTTGTGGTGCGCAATGGAGTCTGAGCCCGTGGCCCAAGGTCTAGTTCTGGGGATGCTCCCAGCTCGCGTGGACCATCTGCCCCAAGCACACACGAGGCCGCGTGCACTCCAGCCTCAAAGGTTGAGCCAACACCACGTTCCTCCAGAAAGAATGTGCTTTTGCTTCCACCATCCCATGATGGATTTCACCCCTCAGGGCTTCCTGGGCCACAGCGGGCTCCCGGCAATGTCCTGCCACCTTCTTCTGCTGTGGGTACTTTCCTTCCAGCTCACTCTCGCAGCGAGCTGGCTGCTGGCCCCTCGTCAGGAGCCAGACCCAAGGCTGTTAGAACCAAGTCGGCTTGTGCACAGACACCAGGACCTTAGCACCTCCAAACACGACTGGGCGCCTGCTGTGTGCACATTTGGGAAATGTATGTGAGTAGACAGATGGACTCCCACCCCATGCAGCCCCCACACCCATCTAGGGAACCCCTTCTCAGAGCTCAGCTCTGCTCACGGTGCTCAGCCTCCCCCACATTCTGGGCACTTTGTATGGAGCTTCAGAGCAGAGGTGCTCCCTGCTTCCTCACATCACACTGGGCGCAAGCACACGCACTTTCCTCCACTGCTTTGGGCAAAAGACATTTATGGTGACAATGAGTGACAGCAAGCACGTTGGAGGAAGCACTCTCTGCAGAACCACCTTGGGGACAGGGTGGGGGCAGCTACCTCCCTGCGGGCCGACTGCCCGCCCCTGCTGGCTCTGGGACACGACACTCCTCCCCACTCCCTTGGGCCCGTGTGTGTAGTGGGGGTCCAGTGTACAGTGGAGAGCCCTGCACCCTGGGGGATGGCTCCATCTGGTGCCTGCCCTCCCGACCCGCTCCCAGATACAAACAGCCCAACAAGTGCTGCCAACCTGCTGACAAAGAAGTCACATCCGCAACCCTAGGCCTTCTCCCCAACATTTTAGTCAAAAAAACAAAACTTCAAGCTTGGTACAAATATTTCAGGTTAATGTTCTCAATACAGCCATTATGTTTCACCTTCACTCACACAACAGTGCATGCGGTTTATTTGCTAGTGAACGTGTTCCAAGCTAAAGTAAAAACCACTCGGGAACAAAAATGGTGAAGTTTCATTGGAGAAGTTTAATCTTCTACTTTTATAGATATCATGTATTAAATTAGAAGGCTGAAAAGCAAAAATATACTTTACAATCAAAGATCAATCTGGACGCTGGACCCCGACCGAAGCATCAGAAACACAGAGCTCTGAGAATCATTCCCACCAGGGCACAGAGCTGCCACCAGAGGGTTGTCGGTAAGGGGAGGGGTACCTTCAGGGATGCCGGACATGGGAGGAATCCCCATCCCCGGCACACACTAAGGGCACAAGCCTATGCTCTGTCCTCGCTCTCAGTGGGGGAAGGGGGGGGCTGCATCTGGAGGAAACACCAGCAGCCAGCCCCCCAGGGTCCCAGGGTTAGCCACCTGGCCATGTACGGGGCCACGAGGCACAGGTACCCAAACACCAGCAGCCGCCCTGGTGCACGGCATCCATCGTGGCCACGCCGCAGCTATGTCATCAGCCCGTCCTGCGCCTGCCTCGGAGGACCTGCAGTGCGGCCCCCCTCCCCCAGAATGGCAGGCTGCCATAGGCCACGAACCCAGAAGCAGGACGCGAACAAGAAAGGAGGGCCTGATGCAACCAGGGAAGACCTTGCAGACTGTGGGCTGAGGTCACAGGCAGTGTTCACGAGGAAGGGGAGCCCAAGTGGCAGGTTCAGAGTCTGTCCTGCCCGCTGAGGCCCAATGCCTGTCCCAAGGAGCACGTCCCAAGGAGCACTTCCACGGCACAGCCAGATGTCCCAGCGATGGGACTGGGCCCCTGGACCTGGAGTCCTGTGGTGTCGTCCGTGAAGGTCGTCCCCAAAGGGCAGAGCTGCAGGCCCACCCAATGCTTTCACCCATTTGGGGAGAAATGTGCATCGTGGGCCCCAACTGTCTGAAATGGGAACCCATGCTCCACGAGAAAGCAGGGCTCACATGTCCAAGCAAGTGGTGGGAACCACTGACTGGCAGCAAGTCTTCACTGAGAACCCTGGCCTGGTGTGGTCACTGCAGCAGGCACATGTTCCTTCAGGCTCCTGATACGCATTTGCTGGCGGTGGCGGCAGTAGCGGCGGCAGCAGCAGCAACAGCGTCCTCTGACCAACAGGAAACCCCCGTGTGCAGTGGGGGGGGGGGGGAGGCGAAATGGGAGTCCAGCCCTCATGCTGACCCCTCGCAGAGTCACGCCGGTGGGGCCAATGGTGCCCATGGCGCTAAGACTCCCTCTCCAAAGGCAAGTGTGTGGTGCCCATGTGCGGGCTGGAAGCAGCACTTGACAAACCTCTTATGTTGCTGATTTTTACAAGGTGTCCCCCCACCTGTCCCAGTCCTGTGGCCATGGCCGCCACGCAGCCCACGGCGCAGCACACACACCTATCTCCTGGGAAAACTGAAACGTTCACCAGATCATTACTTCTTTCATCCACAGTGAATTCCCAGGACTGGTACGTTTAGTTAAATTAACATCAGTAGTAGCCAACGGTTCCTAAGTACCCTTTAATAAACAGATACAAAGCACTGGACCTACCAGCTCTTACACCCACTCTTTAGGTTCTGTTCCAAGAGCTGGTCAGAAAGAGGAGCAGCAAGCCCTCGAGTAACACCCCACAAAGTTGGCATGAGACACAGCAGGAAAAGGCATAATGGGGTCCCTGGGGCCTGGGATGGCCCTGCTCCAGAGCCCGCAGGGGGGGGGAGGTGGGCTGCCAGGCTCGGCCCACCCTGGATCTGGTGCATTCTGCAGCCATGCTGACACAGAGGTCAGCCCGCCTGGGATACCAATGAGCAGCCCAGGACTGCAAACAAGGAGCGTCAAAAGAAAAACATGAATTTAAGTTTGAGAGCTGTAAAAATAACCCCAAATTAGGTGTTAAATGCTCTACGTGCCTGAAAGAATAGATTACTCCGGTTAAGTAAAATAACTGCATGCCATTAATCAAACCTGGAGGATGCGCAACGCTTTCTAAAGCGCTGGCAGAGGCAGGCTGCTCATAGAAAGCGTTCTTGGGACAGCGTGCGGCGGAGAAGCACACGGCACTCGAACAAACATGTCTCCAAGCAGCAGGCAGGCAAGTGTGCGTACGCGGGACGTGGCCCATGTGCCCGCTCTTCTCCCAGCGAAGCCAGGAGGAGAGCCACTCACACCCACACCCGAGTGATGGTGGCGCTCCATGGTCAGGAAGCGACAACCCACATGCATCCCAAACGAGGGTGAGGACTGGGACTACAGACGTCCAAGAAAAGGCTACACGGGGCTCCTTCACGGGAATGGGGGGAGGGGGCCGGGCCAGCAAGTCGGGAGGGCCGAGGTGATGTGGCGGCCGGGGCTCTAGGACTCTTCACCCATCTGGAGCAGGGAGTTGATGGCTGCGTCCCTGTCCCCTCTCTGGGCTTCCAGCACGGAGCGGATCACCTCCCGGTCCATGTTGGGGAACATGTCCTGGATGGCTTTGAGATCCTCCTCACTGCAGCGGGGCTGGGTGCTCACGGCAGCTGGGGGCAGGGCCACGGGCACCACACCGGGGCTGCACACTGCAGGTACACCTGCAACCACAAGACGCGGTTTAGGGAACACATGATGGGACTGGCACCCACGCCAAGCTCGTCTTTGGAGCAAAGACGTGTGCCCCTGGCCCATAGCCTCCATGCACATCCCCATTTCCTACAGCATTCCTCCCCAGCAGGTGTACACCATGCACTCAGAGCTAGGACAGGCTGCTTGTGCTGTGGTCCCTTCAAAGTTCCGGATGATACCATATCAGATGTCAATTTTCACGGACCCAAGACCACAAAGCAATTCTGTAAGAGAACAGAATGGCTCAGGGGACAGAAGCTAGACATCAGGTGGCGACTATGGTACAGGCAGGGCACCAGGTGGATCCCTCTGATGCCAACAAGCACGTGAAGCCTGAGAGCGAGGCACACACCCAGGAGCACAATCCCTGGGTCAAGGTGGTGAGGTGCTGAGAGCCCAACTTTCCAGTCAACTATCTGCAGAATGGGTGGGAACATGGGGCAGGACAGCAGCATGAGGGCTTTCCCACACTGGGCGGCACTGTCAGCACCTGGTGGGCACTGCTGTCCTTCACACACTGGCTCCACGGCCCCCTCCCCTCCTGGGAACTGCTTCAGCGCACAGATCCCACAGTGCAAGAGAACTGGGGGGAGGCTCTCAACCCACCCCAGGGTTATCTCTACTGTGGGACCCCCACCTGTTAGGGGGGCAGCAGCTGCAGGCAGCACCCCTCCTGCGGAAGCAGGGTCCACAGACACATGCATACACCCCTCGCATTATACATGTGCACACAGGTGCCACACACGCATACATACCAATACTGTAGATCACACATGTACACAAATGTATACACACACCTCACATCACACGTGTGCATATGCATGCCACGCACATGCATGCCAATGTAGATCACACGTGCACACGTGCCACGCACACATGGATACCAATGACATAGACCTATGTGCACACACATACATGCACACACACCTTGACAAGATCAAGGAAATAAGTTATTCACAATAAAGAAGATTCTGAAGCAGCACAAACTTCACACAAACACAGGCAGCTGGCACAAGTTCCTGTCTGTAGGAAACACACAGGAGCCAGTGTGCAGCTTGGCCTCAAGAGATCCAGGCAAAAGCTCCTTCCTCTCCTTGGTCACTTCCTGAGAGTAGCTGACTATTCCAAAGCTTACAAACGTGCATCAAAAGAGAAGTTCAAAGTCTCCATTTATACAGAAGTCTGGCCTTTCCCAGAATAAACCTCTTAAGACAAACCTCAAAGACTCACAAAGAAAACTAAGGAACCAGAAAAACACATCTCGTCTCCCGAGAACATGGACTTTCCATTAACCAAACACGTCCTCATGCTGCTGACCCTGTAGCTCAAATGTGCCCCTTAGAAAGATGTGTGAGGCGCCAGCCTGGGCACGTGTGAGCGAGACCTTATCTGGAAGGTGGGTGAGAGCCACGTTGTCCTGAGCAAAGTCTTGATTAGACGGGCACCTCAGATGCTGGCACAGACACCCAGGAGGGGCCATGTGGTCATGGGGCGGAGGCAGCAGCAGGAAGGGTCTGGAAGGGCCCCGCCCACACCCTGAGTTTATTTATTTATTTTTTTAATAAATTAATTTTTATTGGTGTTCAATTTACCAACATACAGAATAACACCCAGTGCTCATCCCGTCAAGTCCACACCCTGAGTTTAGACTTTGGCCTCCAGAATGGAGAGCAGAGATTTCTGCTGTGTGAAGCAGAGGTGCCTCCATGGGCCTTTGTTCCGGCTGTCCCAGGACACTCACTACCTTTGGAGAGCCCCAAAGGCACCTGTTCCTCCTCAAACCTCTAACGTGGGAGTGAGACAATGTCACACAGAGCCTGAAACCGCTGCAGCGAAGGGGCAAGGAAGGACGAGATCCTCAGGCAGACGTCAGCACAGAGCAGAGACCCCTGAGGCCAGCCGCAGTCGCTCCAGCAGCACGAGCTGCTCTCCCCACTCGTGGTGCTCTCCTGGGGCACAAACGTCCCCTTGGCTTTCTGAAGAGTTTCTGCATCTCTACAGAGACTCCCTCTTCTCACTTGGTAAGATGTTCTCTAGAAACTCATCCTGGCTGTTCCACAGCTCTTTGATCACCAAGGCCACTTCCCATCAGCTGGTTCTGACCCGACCAGGACTTACATTTCCCCGCAGTTCTCCCCAAAAGTCTGGAACCGGTGTGAACACCTCAGAGGCAGATGCAGCCTCCCAGCTCTGCGCCCCTCCTTGCTGGGCTGTGTTTAGGCTCCGTCAGGGTGAAAGTAAGCCTGAGGCAACACCCCGGTCCCGCACCAGCCACAACTGCACAAAGACGAGACCTCTCTTCTCTGGATGGGCAGAAACCCCAGGGCGCCCCCTGCCACCCCAGCCCCGCACGCCAGTGTCCTGCCCCACTCCAGCCCCTTCGGTACGATGCGACCACAGCACCATGCTGTGACCCAGCTCCCTGTACGACACCGCCTCTGGCAGAGAGCGCGGTAACTCAGGGCTCCACTGCCTCCCTTCTCTCGGGGATCACAGTCCTGCAAGGCCTGCTTGCTGAGCCCGAACAAACTGCCGCTTCATCTGTTATGCCCAGTTTTATGGCTGTTTGCAGCAGAGAACAGTGGAATCCAGTTACCATCGCAGCCAGAGCAGAAGCTCTGGTGCCAATGGCTGGTGTTAATATTTGAAAATTCAAAAGCATGAAAGCAATCCAACTGGATTTTACTAGGTTGCCACAAAGTGTTACTTTACAAAGACGAATAAACACAACAACAGGAACATCAGGGCTCACAGCTCACTTCGCCCCATAGTGCAGGATCTTTCAAGACAGTAACTCATACACTAACGTGTTCAGAGATTACACTTCTACACCTCCATAAAAGTTCAACTTGCCAACAGTCTGGGGAAAAAAATTCCCACAGACACACAAAAAACTTAAGCCTCAGACCAGACCCCTTGCGTTTGGAAAGGTCCTCATGAGTCACATCCAGACCTGACCAAGCCTCCGCACGGCACTCCAAGCCCCTGAGGACAGTGCTGGGGATGGGGAGTGGTACACACCTGTGATGGGCACGTAGCCTACGCCTTGCTGGTACACGGTGGGCATCAGGACCACAGGCTGAGGCGGCATCATCACGGTGGCTGGCAGCGACTGGAATACACCAAATATAATCACGGGGTCATAGGAGTGCACAGCACACACCGAAACGGACATCCTGATACCGTCCTGGTGGAAGGCCCGGGTGAGTCACGGCCGCCTGACATAGGGTCAGACGGGAAAGTTCCCCAGGAAGCAAATGAGCACTTTCAGGACCTGAAAGCACTTTCCTGACAGCCTCTAACACACTATTCGCTCAGTTACTGCAGTTGGGGTTACGTGCTCCTGTGAAAGCATTTGCCGTATAATGAAACGTTTATGAGTAAAGTCACACGGATGCTGGGACTTGCTTTCCAACAGTCAGGCTGGGAACCTCCTTGAGGCAGAATTAAAACAGGGACACCACCACCACCTCGGTGACACAAAGGTCCCAGACCCCACCTGCCCCAAGAGCAGTGGGCCGCGGACATGGAGCTGCACAAGGCAGGGGACCTACGGGCCAGTGGCTGCTCCCTTATACTCTGTGTGGTCCTGAGACCTCTGACCACTACATGGAGGACCTGCTCTGGCCATGAGGAAGCCTGTACACCAAGGAATAGACCCCCACACCATGCTGCTCCTCCCACTAGATTGCCCGACGCCCACGGGCCAAGGTCCCAGTCCCTCAGGGACAAATGGCTGTGCTGAGCTGAGGCTGCCCTCTGCCTGCCCTCCGGCCCCAGCCCTCACCGTGTAGGACATGACCAGGTTGATCATGCCCTCCTTGTCATCACCCTGCCGGCCACTCAGGCTGTACCACTCGTCCTCCACCTTGCCCTGCTTCAGGGACTCGGGAATGGTGACGTGGGTCCAGGCAATGCGATCATCCATGGAGAAGGCCCGCTGAGGGAGACACAAGGGAATACACATGCTGCTACCACCCTGAGGTCCCTCTTCCTGCCCCCGCAGCCCCACCCCCAGCCCCTCCCTCCCCCTGGGCCACCTCCTCCAAAGGGTGATCCCCCCACCCCGAGTCTGGCCCCCAGCTGTGTGCAACCTTCAGCCCCCACTCTCTGCTGAGTATGGGTCACCAGCTGGGAAAGAGAGGACCCCATAGGACCCCCACCCTCATCCCTGTGAGGCCAGTAGGGCCTTAGTCAGCATCTGGACATGCACCGTCTGGCCTCTGCCCATCCTCTCAGGATCCCTTGCAAGTCCAAAAGCCAGTGGGTGTGGATGGAGGGAAGGAGGTGCCCTCCCTTCTGCCCCCCTGTGCTGAGCAAAGGGAGAGGAGTAGGAGGGAGGAACCTGCAAGGAAAGAGTGGGCAGAGGGTACCACATGAAGGGGGGAGGGGGTAGCTCCAGGCCTTGCTGCCCAATCCCCAGCCCTCCAACCTCTTATCCTGCTAGCCAAGACCCAGAGGCTCTCTGGCAGCCCCATAGGTGCCCAGAGGACCAGCCCAGGACTAGCCATGCTGCAGCTATCTGACCCTCCCAGGGACACTTGGGGGCTGGCAACTTGCACAAGAACCCCACTCTACCAAGCGTGGGGTCTGACCCACTGTAAGCCCATCTAGTCACAAGAGCCAGCCTCTGTGCCTTTGGTGTAGGGATCTGTTTGGGGCTTGGGGAAGGGGGTACAGTCAAGACTGTGTCCCCCACTCCAGTGAGGCTGTTTCTGAATGTAACTGCTAAAGACATCTGTATGGAATTGTGTACACTGCTGCTGAGAACACCATGTCACCTGCCACAAAGCAATAACACACCTACTCTGGGCACACCTGCAGTTCCCAGACAGCCTCAGTGGTGGAAGGCAGGGCACCCGCTGGGCCCGTGACGGGTGGGCGGCCCTCTCACCTCATCAAAGATCTCCAGGTAGAAGGAATCCACGCCTGGGGGCACTGTGCACTGGATGACTTTATTCCAGCGAGGATTCTTGGCACCATTGTGGGCAGTGGGGGTCTCATATACCGCATAGCCCAGACGCAGTCGGCAGTACGGGTCCATGCGGGTCATGCCATAATTCTTTGCCAGCTTGGCCTGAAATACAGCCGATGTTACTGAATGAGCCACTGCCACTGGAGTGAAAGACGCATGCTCACCCGAGCTGTCCATCCCCTTCAACACATCAACCCTGGCATTTCCAGGGAACAGGATGTGGCAACTGTGTTCCTTGGCGCCAGGTACCAAAGGTCACCATTCAAGTTGAGAGAGGCTCTGGCCCATGTAGGGCAGCTCCATCTCCAGCGTCCCCTTCAGAAGAGGCTGCAGAGGAGGGTGACAAGCAGGCTATCCCGAGCCAGAGCCAAGAGCCACCCAGAACACGGGGCTCGAGGGCTGGCCTGGACCAGCAGGGTCACGAGTTCAGGGCACTGGCCCAGCCACCACCTGGCTCTGCTTTCTGTTCTCTGTCTGCTGCTGCCTTGGCTTATGAATCCTGAGGAGCTTAACCTTCAGCCAGACAGGCTGAGTGTACAGAGAAAGCAAGCTTGGGACTGATGAACGAGAGGGAAGGCAGGTAGCCCAGGGTACTCATCAGCAGATGCACTGGAACGTGAAACCTAAAACCACAGAACCTGGTTATGATGTGTCACCACAGCTTAAGGGTGGAGTAGCAATAACAGCAGGCCTGAACATGTCCACTAGGAAGGGCGCAGGGGCAGGGGGAGAACGTGTGATGGAGTGCCACAACCACGACAGAGGGACCTCTCAAGCCTGAGTGACAAGAACACAGCCCAGCAAAATGCGGGCAAAGACTACAGGAGAAACTGATGCCTGCATGCCATCAGAGACCCAAAAGCAAAACCCCAATGAACCCAAATCAAACCAACCCTCCTGTGACCACAGGAAACACCCAAATCCCGCAGACAGGGAGCAGATGACACATTACTGGACATCCAGAAAGAAGCCTTATGGGCCATGGCGTGGGCACTCCCATGTGAGCAGAGTGGAGGCTAGCCTGGGTGGGGGGCAGGGAGGGGGGCCAGGGGCCTGACCGCAGGGTGCTCCATCAGCAGGAACCACCAGGGAAGTACATGTCAGGGGAGGCAGGCCAAGTAGCATGTTGGGGCCCCAACGGACTGGGGGAGAAAGGCTTATCAAAGGAAGTGGGAAGCCAGGGCCACACTGAGAGGCCCAGCAGGCAAAAGAGGGCTGTTTTGGGTCCCTGGTGCCACAAGGGCCTGGGAGGACCATGTGGAGGGTAAAGAGTGACCACTCCTGTGGGCACATGAGAGGGCAGAGTTTCAGAACATGTGAGTATCTGAGGTGACCCTATCACCCCTGAGAGTGTGGCCAGGTGTCTGGGATGCAGTCACCTTAAAATCCACAGTATTCGTGAGGCCTGACTGCAACTCCGTCTGCCTTCAGTGACTCCCCTTCGTGGTTTTCCAGAAAGTTGTGGTGACCAAAACCACTTTAGATCCTAACAGTGCCTCTGGCTTTCTTAGGGGTCTGTTCAGCAGCCAGGCCCTCCCCTCGTGGCCCCACCTCCCCCACAGCCAGGAGGGTCGGGCGGGGCATCCATACACAGGCTGGCACAGAGCACGTACCCATAAACATCCCTCACTGATTATTTTTGCTATTTCTGGTAGAAGCCTGGATATTCATCAGTATCTTTTACATGTATGTTTCAAAAAAAAAAAAAAGAGAGAGAGAGAGAAAAAAAAAACCCATTTATTCACACAGACAATGTGGCCCAGCAGCCACAGCCCAGAGAGCAACCAGCACTCAGGGCCACCCCTTCCCCGGGGAGGCCCAACACCCACCTGCACCACGGTGATGCTGAGGCGGCCCACTGTGCCCACCGCTCCTCCATACTGCAGCTGCTGGGCTGCCTGTGCGTCCAGCTGTACCTGCTGCTGCGCAGCCGTGGGTGTGATGCGGAGGAAGTCCTGCGGGAGCTCACCAACGTACACCTTTGGGGAGAACACAGGTGCATTAGTGGGGGGCTCAGTCACTGCATCTACGGTGGGAGAGGCCCACAGGGCCACGGTCTCCAGCCCAAGCACCATGAACCACAACACTGCCATCCAGCAAGGAGCCCTCTCACTCAATAGATGCAAAAAAGCAAAGCGGGCTTCTGCTCTGCCCACTGACAGCAGGTTCTCAAGCTCAGAACGGCTCCTTGTCAGTCTCTTGGGCTGCGCTCAGGTGTCACACGCCCTCTGCCTACATGTCCGCCATCTGCTTTTCCTGCTGCCACCAGGACAAACCAGGCCTGTGAGCTGCAAGGCACTTGTTCAAACCAGCAGCGAGATGAAATCAGAAGGTTGGGTCTCCAGGTACATGGAAGCTCCCCCCGCCCCACCATGCTGACACACTCGAAAACCTCCATCTGAAACAGCTCAAACTCAAAAACAACAGCCCAGAAGACAAAAAGGAAAGACGAGCAACAAGAAGCCCCAAAGACCTCCTCCTCCTGCCTCTTGCTGAACCCCTTGTCCACAAGGCTGCCTGGCTTCTCAAAGAAGGGGTGGAGACGCACTGGAGGGTGGACTGCACAGAGGCCCCCAGGGTTCCAAGAAGCCAGTCTTCCAGGAAAAGGCAGTGGCTAAGGGGAGTGGACTGCCACACGTGGCAGTGGCCCTGGACAAGGCTTCCCCCACACAGATGAGCAAAGAGGACAGCTGTGTCCCCAGGCCAGCAGAGCGCGGACCCGCAGTGTCTGATGCCCGGACAGCCTGCCCTCTGCTCTTTCCCAGGCAGGGTAGGTTTGGGGTGTGGAGAGCCACAGTGTAAGGACTGACGCAGCCCCACAGGAGGGAGCAGCAGAGCTATGGCGCAGGCCCAGTGCTGTCCACAGGGCTCCCGGGTCTCCTCCACTGCCCCAGAGTACATCACCACAGACTCTGGCCGAGAGCCTTGAAGGAATGTTATTTTCAGGACATACCAAAGGGAAAGGAAAACCCCCACGAGTCATAGTGAGTTGTGGCAAAGTGCATTTACTGACAGTGGCCAACAGAGACTGCTTCAGATATCCAGGTGCCAAATATCCTAAGGCCTCTATAGCTGTGGTTCTGGACCTCCAGATGACACAGATCTGGGAGGATTCCAAAAGGTTCCATACCCGCTGAGCTCACAAGCACCACTGGGAAAGCATTTCTCCACAAGCACCTTGTGCTGTTTCATTTCAAACATCCCTAGAAAGGTCTAGGTTCCTGTCTTCGTGTCCCCATCTCAGGTTGGAGATCGCCCAAGCCAGGCACCGAAACAGGCGGAGACCCACTCGGGTCTCCAGGCCCAGAGGCTGTCTGTCCCCAGCCACTCCCTCCTTGGCACCCATCAGCTTGGTGCTCCAGCTGCTTCCCTCCGCAAAGCAAGAGCACACTTCTTCCTCTCGGGCTGGGATGTATGGGAGTGACCTCCGCGCCTGGCGAGGAGAGCATCTTGCACCTTCTCCACGTCTGGAGTGGAGCAGCTCCGGTGGGCCCACAGGAGCCCTGAGAACTCATTACAGCCTGAGGGGAAAGCAGGGGCACCCAGGAGGTGCAGGGTTGCCAGGTGAGGAGCGTGCTGCCTCCCTGGGGGCCTCTCAGGCTGCACGCCCTCCCAGAGGGCTGAGATGATGTGGCTGGCCTAGGGGCTACCAGACCCACACCCATCACCAGCTGCTGTGGGCAAACGGGAACTGCACTTCCAGCCAGAGCTCTTCCCAGCGGACACGGGGCCAGATGCTGCCATGCCAACTGGCCACAGTCCTCCCAACCTCCGCCGGGGCCGCAGCAAGCTTGCCTGTTCCTGTGAATGTAATCTGGCAGACACAGACTCATGTTAACCAAATGCAGAAGATTAGTGCACACAGACCAAATTCTCATTTATTCTGAAAAATAACTACCCACCCCATACCACGTACTGCAGTTCTGAGGAGTGAGGAGTGCAGGAATGGGCTGTGCCCTTGATCCCTTGTCCTGGGATCAAGCCCTGCCATCAGGCCCCTCACTCAGTGCTGAGTCTGATTGGGATTCTCTCTCCCTCTGCACTTCCCCCTGCACTCACTTGTGCTCTCTCAAATAAATCTTAAAAAAAAAAAATTCAAACATCTAATGTTCAACAAGATTTTAACTGTAAACATGAAACGATTTTTACAACAGAAGTTAATTATGCGGGATCCCTGGGTGGCGCAGCGGTTTGGCGCCTGCCTTTGGCCCAGGGCGCATCCTGGAGACCCGGGATCAAATCCCACATCAGGCTCCCGGTGCATGGAGCCTGCTTCTCCCTCTGCCTATGTCTCTGCCTCTCTCTCTCTCTCTCTGTATGACTATCATAAATAATAAAAAAAATAAAAAAAAAGAAGTTAATTATGCTATGCAAACAAAACACAGAAGGGATAGAAGGTGAGTCCCCTGGCCAGCGCCAGCACTAACAGGCTAGGGGACACTAGGTTCCTGAAAAGGCGCAAGGAGGATAATATGCCCTGGGGTCTTCTTCTCACCTGAGGAACAAGCTACAAAATCCCTGACTGGCAGTCCTCAGATGGTCAAGGTCCCCCAAAACAGAGGAAGTCTGAGATGGTCCCAGAGTGCAGGTCACTAAGAATCCACTGCCACTCCATGCCATGTAGGGTTCGGGGTGGAACTCCAGGACAGAAGGGACACTGAGGCAAACACAGGGCAGCCAGATAAAACCTGGAGCGAGTAGTCACGTAGCAAAGCCAGGTCTCCAGTTATGACAAACGTCTGTTGGGGATGCACACAAGGTGCAAACACACCGGAACTCTCTGAACTGTTCATAACTGTTCCATAACTCTAAAGTTCAAAGTTTATTAGAAAAAAACTTCTTCTCCCTCTGCCTGTGTCTCTGCCTCTCTCTCTTTCTCTGTGACTATCATAAATAAATAAAAATAAAAAAAAAGGGGGGGATCCCTGGGCGGCGCAGCGGTTTGGCGCCTGCCTTTGGCCCAGGGCGCGATCCTGGAGACCCGGGATCGAATCCCACATCAGGCTCCCGGTGCATGGAGCCTGCTTCTCCCTCTGCCTGTGTCTCTGCCTCTGTCTCTTTCTCTCTCTGTGACTATCATAAATAAATAAAAATTAAAAAAAAAAAGAAAAAAACTTCAACTTAACTAAAAAAAAAAAAAGAAATAAGACGGAAACAGCATTTCAGTTCTGACGAAATACCACCCTCTTGGTGATGCAACCAGCACCCCGCTGCCCCAGGAGCTGCCAGACAGGTCTGTCCGCTGCTACAACCCCAGAGACTTGCAACTCGAAGGAGCTTGTCCAAGTGCACCAGTTCCCACACCTTAAGTCAGTGCTGCTGACAAAGCCAGTCCGCGTCAGATGTTACAGAGTCCAGGTGCCGACACAAACCCCACCACCTCAGAGACCGGCCAGGAAAGGATGTGGTGAACACTTGGCTTACAGACATAAAAGAGAAATCCAGAGCTAATCCTAAAATTTTTATGTTTGCCATATTATCACAGAGGAAAAGTCTGAATTGTAACATCAGCATACATGCTTTATCCTGGCCCAAAGACCAGAGAAGAATGGTTAATCTTGATTACAGATAAATCGTGAATATTCTAAACTGTTATCTGGCTCACACTTATAAGATGGACACACTGAGTCCAAAACTGGCTGTCAGCTGCACACTGGGCAGGGGGCCCTCTGGGCCTGTCACTGTCTGCACAAGGAGCATCGTCACACATTTCTCCTCACCGCTGCTCATGGAACTGTTACACCACAGACACTCTGGATAAGTTCATATCCTGTACACCGACCTGTGCTCTGCGTACAAATAGCACTCTTCAGCTAACACAGGGTTAGAACCAAGCTCCTAGGGGCGCCCGGGTGGTTCCAGGTCACAAACTCGGGGTCCTAGGATCCAGCCCCACATCAGGCTCCCTGCTCCTCCCTCCCTCCCCCGCCCCCGTACTGCTGTGTGCGTGCATACAGAACAGGGTGCAATGGTGCCATGAGGAGCAAGAGCCCCAGTACAAGCCGCCAGGCACTGTGAGGCCTTCTGTTCACTCTGCCTCGTCTGAGAACCCACCTCACCCTCTGGGGCTGGCATCACCAATGAGAACACAGGTGCTCGGGGCTCTGGAGCCCCCATCACGGTCCAGAGAGGCACCCCGACACAAATGCCTCCTTGGCCCCCAGCTCACCACTCGGCTCTCAGTCCACATCACTCACACTAGGACCACAGCTGAAAGGGACAGAGGAATGTTACCACAGAGAAACAAAGAAGCCAACAACTCACACAGGTCGAGGAGCCCCAGCCCTCGGAGCCCTGAACCTCCCTGGCATCACAGGGACCTATGCTGAAGGCCCTGCAAGGGCACACTTGCTGCTGGATTCCCCAGGGCCACAGCTCAGCACGTTCCACCATCTGGCCCAGGAGAAAGGAACTGTCCCCCAGGTAACTGCACGGAGCAGTGGCTCTGAGCCTCAGCTTGGCTATGGACAGAATGTTCGCTGTACCTCGGCCAAGACACTGGCTCTGCCACTCTGCGGGAGGGAGCCAGGCAGGTGAGGAGCCGGGCGTGCCATGCCTCACATGTGGTTGTGTCTGGCGCCTAACTACAGGGTGTGACAGCAAGTGAGCAAGTCAGGCCACAGAGGGGTGGTGTGTGGGCGGTGGGGAGGCTCTGGGAAGGAAGAGCAGGGCTTCCTAAGGGACCATCCTGACATTGTAGCTGGAACACCCTGCAGTGTGGGGCCACCTCCAAATGGGACAGGGTGGAATGCAGTGGAGGGGACCAAGGAAAGGAAGGTTCTGCTCTGTGACGTCTGGACCATCCCAAGTAGAGAGCAAGGAGCAGCAGAACACTTGGAGCTGGAGTTGAGAAGGAGGCCTGGGAGGGGGCAAGGAGTCAGGGTCGTGCTGGGGACCCAAACTCATGGTCCCCAAGGGAGAGTGCACACCCAGAAAAGAGGAGGAGGAGCCCGGAGAAGAAGTCTGAGTGGAGACTGTG